ATTGTCTCTCAGTAGGGGCCACACACTGTAGGTTCTTCAGCCTCAGAACAGCTGGGATTGCCTGACAGTTTAGCCACGCGTTGTTCTAATTCATGTTAACAAGATGCTCAAAGTTACTCTGTCTCCCTCTGACGGGACGACATCCTCTATTGTTTAGATAAGCCCTGCCTGCCATTGTTATATATATATATTTATATTTTGAATCCTCACCCAAAGATATGTTTATTTATTTTTTTAATTTTGGAGAGAGAGAGGAAGGTAGAGTGACAAATCTCAATGTGAGAGAGAAACATCGATTGGTTGCCGCCCATAGGCACCCAGACTGGGAAGTGAACGCCCACCACCTTGTGGTGTATGGGATGATGCTCCAGCTGACGGAGCCACCTGGCCAGGACCACTGTTGTTTACATATATTTGGTTAATCCTCCCCCAAGAGTATTTTCCTATTGATTTTCAGAGAGAGTGGAAGGGACGGGGAGAGACAGAGAGATAGAAACATCGATGTGAGAGGGAGACATTGATTGGTTACATGCGCCTCCCCCCCACTACCACCGTAGGGGCTGACTGGGGGCTGGGGATCAAGCATGCAACTGAGGTACTGTGGGGCCTTGACTTACGAGTCTAATTCGTTCTGTGAAGGAGCTCGTAACTCAAATTACTCGTATGTCAAATCATTAAAGTGAACGAGTGAGACATGTGATGCTGGGCTGATGTTGTGGTGTTCACTGTGACGGTTGCTGCGCCAACTAGCGGTGGGGTATCTGAAGCTGGGTCGTAACCCAAATTTTAGCTCCAACTCAAAGCAGAAAATTGGCCGAGAGATAGCTTGTATCTCGAAAAACTTGTTAGTCGGGACACTCGTAAGTCAAGGCCCCACTGTATGTGCCTTTGTCTGGATTTGAACCCAGAACCCTTCAGTCTGAGGGGTTCTATCCACTGACGCTCCATCAACTGAGCAAAACTGGCCAGGGCAGTTATACTTAAAAAAAAAGTTTTTATTGATTTCAGAGAAGGAAGGGAGAGGGAGAGAGAGAGAGAAACATCAGTGATGCGAGGGAATCATTGATTGGCTGCCTCCTGCACACCCCGCACTGGGGATTGAGCCGAAACCTGAGCAAGTGCCCTGACCGGGAATCACAGGTTGATGACACACTGGCTGGGCTGGGCAGTTATACTTTTTAAGTCACTTCTCAACTCTTTGGAATAGAAATTAAATTTGGATTTAAGTTACTTTAGGAATCTGGGACAGGAGGGTAATAGACCCCAAATTAAACTGTTCGTGTTGTCTTTCTATGGGTCACACGACTGCCCTATTTGATTGTTAGCTCTCACCTTAAAAACACTCCGTCTGTGTTCCAGGCTTGTCCTCAAGTCAGGAGCCAGCCTTTCCAGGTATTTCCATGGGGGTGGATGCCCCACAGACAGTAGTTGATGAGGGTGGCCCCTCTCTCCAGGGTTGAGCTGTGGTCGCCCGTCTCTATCTGTCTTGTGGGTTTTTTCAAAACCTCGCTCCATAGCCCCGGCTGGTATTTCTCAGTGGTTAGAGCATTGGCCTGCACTCCCAAGGGTTGTGGGTTCGATTCACGGTCAAGGGTATGTACCTGGGTTGCAGATTTGATCCCCACCCCCTGTCGGAGCACTTGCCGGAGGCAACCAATCAACATGTCTCTCTCATATAGATATTTCTCTCACTCTCTTCCTCTCTCCCTCTCCCTACCTCTCTTTTACTCTCTAAAAATCAATGTAAAAAAATATCCTCGAGTGAGGATTAACAAGAACCCCCACGAAAACCAGCAACAAGAAGCCTCGCTGATAAGTGTGTGTCTGTCTGGCCTCTTGCAGGAGGACAGCGACCCTTCGATCAGCGAGAGCCTGAGCATCGAGAACGCGCTGTGGGCCGGCACCGTCATCGCCTCAGGTGAGGGCCCTGCCCTCTCCCAGGAATGTGGTAGCAATTTGAAGAGGGAAGAAAATCCTCCCGAGTAATTAGAATAATCATCTGTCAGTTGGGAAAATTAGTCCTCGGTCAAATGGTGTTTTCCACTTGTCCCAGCACCTCCAGGGGATTCTGCTGGCATCTAATTGCCCCTCAGACACTTAGAGAGCCGAGTAGAGAAGCTGCTCTGGCCTGCGGACTCTGCAGCGCCCACTCTGCCAATAGCCCTTAATTGCCGCTGCAGATGGACCTTCTAATCTGTCCCAGAGGTTGGCTCAGCCTGCACGTTCGGCTGCAGGCCGTGTCTGTGAGGCTGCTGGTCCTGTGGGTCCGGGGCTCCGTGCACAGGAAAGGGCGGAGCCTTGATATTGAAAACTCCAATGTGATGCAGAAATCTGTGCCTTTCAGTTTTGAGCATGGGGTGAAACTGAACAGAAGGGGTCCCAGGGGTTGAGCATGGCCTGCAGCAGCCCTGTTGATATCTGTGGGGTCCCGCCCGTCTCTCATGCAGTGTGACGAGCCCTTCACACATTTCACTTGACCCTCCCAAAGGTGCCACGAAGGTAGGTGCCAGTGTTGTCCCCATTCTGCAGATGAGGAAACTGAGGCTGTGTGGGGTTAAGTAACTTGCCCAAGGTCACACAGCAGGGAAAAGGTGAGTTGGGACTTGAACCCAGGCACTTTGCTTGAGAAGCAGAACTCATTGTACCAGCCGCTGTTAGTATATGATAACTTATACTAATAACACATAATTCTGCTGCTGGCAGCTCTCTGTCTTTATTATTGGAGGAATCCATTTCTTTCCCCTCTTCAAGAGTGATAGCTCCCGCCTATCAACCCGTTTTCCTCTGCTTGTTGGTTCTCTGTGGCTCATAGGAGAGCAGACACTCAATCCAGATACTCTATGACAAGCATGTCAAACTCAAAGGCTAACACGGGCCAAATAAATGAGGCATGCGGCCCCTGGGCCACTAGTTTGACATGCTTGCTCTATGACAAGGGGAGGGAGGGACTGGCACAAGTGAGAGCCCAGGCCACCTGGCGTCTCTGCCCACAGAGATGAGCTGCCCCTGGGGCTCTTGCCAGGTTTCTTCTCTCCTGGCTGCGTGGATTGGCAGCGTCATCTGGCTGTCTCTCAGTTCCCCTGATGACTAAAGGAGTGAGAAATTGGTCCTTACAGTTCTGCACAGCCACTGCCTGGCCACGCCTTGGCTTCTAATAACTTCAGTGCGTTTAATTCTGCACTTGATTTGATAATATTAATATTTCAGTGATAAGTACCTGTGCCTGTGTCTGTTTGGTTTTCATTCTGGTGATTGTCTCTCCTTCCTTCCTGTTTTCCTTCTTCCTGTGAAGCAAACCTTGATTGAACAGCTATATTCAATCATGCCACGCTCCATTGCTAGGTCCTGGTGCTGCTTGGTGTGCCAGGAAACCTCGGTCTCCACACTCCTGGGATTTACAGTTTGCTATATGTTTAATGTAAGTTAAAGAGGAGAGGGGAGGAGACAGGAGAGAGAGAGTTCTAGAAATTTCCTCTGGAACCACTAAAAAGGCAAATGGTTTAGGTGAAGATGCATCGAATTCTGAGGTGGAGGGAGTGAGGTTGTAAAAGTCTTGTTGTCAACTTTAATCTCAGAGGTTAACAGTAGTCTTATTTATCAGGCACTTTTTTTTTTTTAAATATATTTCATTGATTTTTTACAGAGAGGAAGGGAGAGGGATAGAGAGTAAGAGATATCGATGAGAGAGAAACATCGACCAGCTGCCCCCTGCACATGTCCCCATGGGATGTGCCCGCAACCAAGGTATATGCCCTTGACCAGAATCGAACCTGGGACCTTTCAGTCCGCAGGCTGACGCTCTATCCACTGAGCCAAACCGGTGCTGGCTATCAGGCACTTTTTATTTACAAAGTGCTTTGCTGCCATTCCCTTGTTTTGGTTTCATGTCATAAACACGAGGACATTTAATGGAATGCAGAATGGAGACTCAGAGAGGTTAAGCAACGTGCCTAAGGTCACACAGCCTTGGAGCAGTCATCTCTTGGGAGGAGGAGAGTGGAAGGCCAATTGGGATCTTGAAGATGGGCAAGAGATTTCACAGCAGTTCTTGGGAAATGCATTGTGGAGTCGGTACATGCATTTTTTTGGTTGTTTGAATTAATGTCTTTGTGCTTGGTGATGTGGGAAGAGAGAGCAGGGCTCCAGGGCTCCAGTGGCATTGCCTGCCATCTCCTTCAGCAGGTGTATGCTCTGGAGTGAGTCAGGAGCTGGGCACCCAGCATGTCTGCAGCTGGCCTCAGTTTCCCTGACTTCTCACTGCATCTGATTCTAATGCAAACACGGAGTGAAACACAAACCATTTCCTTCTGGTGCTCAACTCAAGCAACGGCCACCAAGAGTAACCTTACCCGTATGACATGTGGCCTCTGTGTTCCCTTTAGAATCTAACTCCTGTGTCGTGGTCACTCCGCTCTTATTAGTTGGAAGTTTAAAAAATAATAAAGCTTCCCCTGGTTAGTGCGGCTCAGTTGGCTGGGCACCATCCTGTGCAGGGAAAGGTTGCCGATTCAACTCCCCGTCAGGGCACATGCCCGGGCTGCGGCTCGATCCCCGATAGGGGGCGTGCAGGAGGCGGCTGATCATTGTTCGCTCTCATATTGAGGTTTCTCTCTCTCCCTCTCCCTCTCCATTACTTCCTCTCTCTCTCTCTTTTCTTTAAAAGATGTTTTTATTGATTTCAGAGAGAGAAAGGGAGAGGGAGAGAGAGAAATAGAAACATCAATGATGAGAGAAAAATCATTAATCAGCTGCCTCATGCATGCCCCGCACTGGGGATCGAGCCCACAATCCCGGCATGTGCCCTAACCAGGAATTAAACCATGACCTCCTGGTCGAACCGCAACCACTGAGCTACACTGCCTGGGCTTCCCCTTTCTCTTAAAAAAATAAAAATAAACTTGCTAGGCTGCAGTTGCCATGGTAACTCAACACAGTGCTGCTGGATGAGGAGTCACCAGGGCGGTAAGAGGGAAGGGTAGGGGGAGGTTTGGCAGAGAAGGTGGCCTGGATGTGACAGAGCCCAGGTGTTCTAGTCCAGTTCTTCCAGGACTCAGTGGTGAGGGACCAGTTTGTTGGCCCGCCCACCCCCCCAAATCTGTAGCGGATGGATCAGTGTCCTGCTGGGTGTGACCAGTGGGCAGGTCACGCCATGTGCACCTTGCCACACGAGTTTGATAACGTCCCCTGTTCGGCGGGGCTTGTCCTGTGACCGCACGCTCGGCGTCACAGAGTGCCTAATTGCCATACACATTGCTGAACGCTGGCTCTCTGGGGCTCAGCATTTATCTTGTTGCTGACAGGGAACAAAGGGATCTCAGTGAGGTCTGACCTGGGACCACACTGCTGTGCGGGGTTAGAAGGAACCTCATGAAATGCCGACCACGGCAGCCTGGCTCCTTGGGGGAAGCGGCTGGGGGCCAGCTGGCAGGATGGAGAGGATTCGTGGTCTGCGGGCTGCAGAGGGTGAGGGACAGCAGAGCGGACAGCGGGGGAGGCGGGTTCCGAGTCCTGGGTCGCGTGAGGAACGTGGACCCAACGTCGCCAGATCTTCCAGTTTTCCAGGAGAAGCCAGAGGTCTCCATTGTTAAATGAAAGCTCCCGTCATGAGAAGCGGCCAGCGAATTCAGCACCTTAAAGCACTGTGCAGACCAAACCAGCGCCCCGCTGCGGCCGGCGTGTACGCTCTGTCTGGGCGGTGACGCCAGTTCGGATCTGGTGGTGACCGTTTTGGTCTTGAGCACAGGGAGATGTTGGGGGGAAGGCCGTTTCAGCAGCATCAGGCACTGAGGTTGGCTGGTGCCTGTGGGGGACCCTCCCTTGGGGAGCCCCTGATGTGAACACGGGCTACAGGAGAGGCGGAGGAAACAGGGGAGTGTGCATTTCCTGTGAAACCTCATGCACCTGGACTTTGGACATCGAGGCCAGGTGGAGCGAGTGAGCTCAGCCCAGGCTCGGCTCCCACTGCCCACCATCTGCTGTGGCCGCACCCGTGTGCCTGGGAGCCTGCCACCTGCTGGGAGTGGCCAGCGAGCTCCCCAGCCTGCCATCTGCTGGCCGCCTCTCTGCCAGGAACCACCTCGTGCAGAACACTGTGCGCTAAACTGGAGGGACTTCTGTGCCTCCAGGAGACACGGCCCCACACTGCATCTGGGTCAGCTCCTTCCCTGAGGCTGTGCTTGAGTTTCTGAGTTTTTGTACATTCCTCCGCCAGTATTTTTCCGAGGAGAGAAGGTTAGGTGTTTGCTTTTTCCAGCGGAGAGAATCACTGACTGGCTGCCTCCTGCACACCCCCTACTGGGGATCGAGCCCGCAACCCAGGCATGTGCCCTGACTGGAAATCGAACCAAGACCTCCTGGTTCATAGGTGTGCACTCAGCCACTGAGCCACGCAGGCCAGGGTCTTCACCACCGTATTGTCTGTGCATATATACATATAAGATCTTCGTTTCATCTCTTTCTAACCCCTGAACCCCTTCCCTCTGAGAATCTTCAATCTGTTCCATTTCCATGCCTCTGATTCTATTTTATTCACCAGTTTTATTCTGTTCATTAGATTTCTTATTCGTTTATTTTGATTTTTAGATTCAAGTTTTGATAGATATGTCTTTGTTGCTGCTTTATTGTTCATATTTTTGTACCTTTGCTTCTTCTTCTTCCCCTTCTTAAATAATACCCTTCAATATTTCATGTAATACTGGTTCAGTGGTGATGAACTCCTTTAACTTTTTATTGTCTGTGACGCTCTTTATCTGACCTTCAATTCTGAATGATAGCTTTGCTGAGTAGAGTAATCTTGGTTGTAGGTTCTTGCTATTCATCACTTTGAATATTTCTTGCCACTCCCTTCTGGCCTGCATAGTTTCCATTGAGAAATCAGCTGATGCTTGAAGTTGTCCCAGAGGCTCCTTATACTATCTCATATTTTAGAATTCTTTTTTCTTTTTGCTCTTCTGATTGGGTGTTTTTGCTTCCTCATATTTCAAATCGTTGTTTTGATTCTCAGAATCCTCTACTCTACTGTTGAATCCCTGTAAGTTATTCTTTATTTCAGTTAGTGTATGCTTAATTTCTAACTGGTCCTTGTCATGTTTTTGGCATTCTTACCAAGATCTTTGAAAGTCTCACTAAGTCCCTTGAAGATCCTTGAGTAACCTTGTAACTATGGTTTTGAACTCTGTATCCAGTAGTTCACTTTTTTCCATTTGTGACATGTTTCTTTATCTCCGAAATTTGGCTGCTTCCCTGTGTTTGTTTCTATGTATTGGGTAACTGCTATGTCTCCTGGAGTGGGTAGGGTGGCCTTGTGTAATAGGTGTCCTATAGGGCCCAGTGGCTCAGCCTCCCCAGTCACCTGAGCTGGGCACTCTAGGTGTGTCCCTTTGTGGGCTTTGTGCACAGCCTTGTTGTAGTTGAGCCTTGATTGCTGTTGGTGTCACTGCGAGGAATTGACCTCCAGGCCTATTGGCTGTGAGAACCAGCTGCGACTGCCGTGGGAGAGCTGCTGTGCGGGAACATCCCTATGGAGCTGGACTTGTTTCAGTGGGGCTATGGTGTTCACTGGGTCTGCCTGTTGAGTGTGTTGCTTGTGGATGTGTAGTGTTGTAATTTGGTTGGTCTGAAGCTGTCCACTGGGTGCACTGACTCTTGGGTCTCCAGGGAGGTGCAAAGTTAGCCACTGCCTGCACCACCATTTTGGTTTTCCTGCCTATTTGATTTCATTTTAATTGAATTTAAATTGCTGCCCCTGGCTAGCAGCTTCCATGCTGGTCAGTGTGGCCATGGGTCATTGGCTGGCCCTGACGTGAACACACTGACACTCTCCCCGTGTGGGTGTGGGATTTAGAAGACGTCCTCACAGGCAGCCCAGGCTCTGGTGTTTGTAAGCCCGTCTGTCCACACTAACAGTTCTTTGTGTCGTGTTTTTCTGTTCTAGGAACTGTTGTGGGTGTTGTTCTTTACACGGGCAGAGAACTCCGGAGTGTCATGAATACCTCCAATCCCCGAAGTAAGGTGTGTGCAGTCACGAGAAGCGTCTCCTTGTCAGATCTTTCGACCTGATGGACTTTGATGATTGGTGTTGGGGGTGAGGAGCTAGAGTTAAAAGCTGGAACTCCTGACAGTATTTCTCATTTACACAGACCTACTTATCTTTTCATATATATATACAAGAGGCCCATTGCACGAAGAGATTCGTGCACTAGGCCTTCCTTCCCCTGGCTGCTGGCACCGCTTTTCCTCTGGCACCTGGGTCCTAGGCCTTTGCTTAGGCCACAGCGGAGAAGCCAAGCCTCTTCAGTCTTCAGCCTTCGCTCGGGCAGAGCCTTTAGGCTCCGCGCCTGCATGTGCAAATTAACCACCATCTTTGTTGGGTTAATTTGCATACTCATCCTGATTGGCTGATGGGTGTAGCGGAGTGGCATCAATTTGCATGT